CTAACTTAGTACCTTCACCACTGGCTCAAATTGGTTCACTTTTTAATGGTTTTTAGTAGCCCCCGGTGATGGAGCTACAAGGATTTTTCTAACTTTAGGATTACAAGACAATTATGTATCTTTGATTTTGGACTGAGGCAAGGAAGTAGAATTATTCCTTGAGCTTAAATTATTGCACAGTAATGGTTAAAATATACGGAGAGTCACTGAGCAATTTTGGGCCAGCCATTCTCTCTCAACTTCACCAACTTTAAAAGGTGTTTGCTTTGGTTGTTATTGCTTTGGTTGTTATTCACTCCCTTGGAGGAGTCTATGAAAGAAAAGTGAAATTTAATACTAACTAATAAGATGAACATCATGATGCTTGAAGGAAAAAAAACCCAACAATTTTGGCTATACTTTCTCTTTAAATGATTAGTTTTAGCTGCAGTCAGAGATGAAACTCTAGAGAAGCATCTGTGTATAGGTTTTTTTAACCCCAACACCAACACCAACTTTCTATAGAGCAGCCTTAAATTTAAGGTTGGCTATTTGAGAGCTCCCACATCCTTCTAAAGTATCTAAAAACAAATAGTAACCATGTTCTGACCCTTACAACACTTAAAGTTCAGAATAGAGAGAGGAAAAGGAAGCATTGCAGCCGTCAGAAATGAGGTGGGAAGTTAGAGACTTGTTAGAGGCTTGTGAGAATCATTAGGTCAACAAAGGGCAGTTTCCTTCCATAACCTCGAAGAAAATAGCAATAGGAATACACTTATATACCTCTTCACAGTGCTTTACAGCCCTCCCCAGCCATTTATAGAGTCAGCATATTGCCCTCAACAATCTGGGTCTTCATTTTACCGACCTCGGAAGGATGGAAGGCTGAGTCAACCTTGAGCTGGCCAGGATCGAACTCCTGGCTGTGGGCAGAGTCAGCGTGCGATGCTGCATCCTTACCACTGTGCGACCATGGATGGATGGAAGGAAGGAAGGAAGGGGAAGGGAAAAAGGAAGACCAATAGCACTTAGACTTATATACCACCACACTGCTTTAAAGCCCTCTCTAAGCATTTTACAGAGTCAGCCTTTTGCCCCAACACTCTGGGTCTTCATTTTGCTGACCTCGGAAGAACAGAAGTCTGAGTCAACCTTGAGCCAGTGAGATTCGAACTGCCAAATTGCTGGCAGCCGGCAGTTAGCAGAAGTAGCCTGCAGTACTGCACTCTAACCCCTGCGCCACCATGGCCATGGTGACCAAATACCAGTGGGGAAGAGGAGAAATCTAGAATGAAAACCCCAGAAATGAATATATACATGCCTGAATATAAGTACACACTTGTAAGTCCTGCCTTTGCCATGAAAACCAGCTGGGTGACTTTGGGCTAATCGCCAAGAGTTGAGAGTTCTAGTACTGCCTTCACCACAAAAGGTGACTGGGTGACTTTGGGCCAGTCATTGTTTCCCACCCCAATCCACCTCACAGGATTGTTTGTTGTGGGGAAACTAGGAGTAGGAAGGTGTGATGCATATGTTCACTGCCTTGAGTTATTTATAAAAAAGAATAAAGGCGGGATACAAGTAAACAAAAATAAATGTAGTTCGTATTGTCTGAAGAAAAAAGCCAAGAGTCTGGAAAGCCATTGTAACCATATGTAGAATGTTTGAAATGGGTTAGCAAAGAACAAAATTTGAAATTTGATAACTGAGCAGAATTTAATCTGCTCAAAAACAGGAAAAAAAATGTGTATTTGGAGGAACATTTCAAAGAACTATGAGCAAATTCATTACACGAATAAATGGAGCGATCTGGCTGTATGCTAGGAGATTTAAACCCTTCCTCATTTACTAGATTATTTCCCTGACAGGTAGGTTTAACAAGGAGTCACGTCAGCCCACCTTTATCAGGTCAAAGAGGGAGAACACAGGCTGAATGTAGCTGGTGAGACAGAATTAGCTCCCATCCAGATGTGTTTATGTCTGTAAGGTAGCATCCACCTGCCTGAGATGGAAAGTAGTAAGGTACCTTCTGGGATCCATCCTACCTTTCCATGATTGTCATTTCTATTTTCTTTGGAAAGGTAGTTTACTCCCCTTAGAATTTCCATTCTTGAGCAGTTAGAGGAAGAAGCAGGTTGTTAGCTCAAGCAGGGTGGATGCCCTGAGAACAAAAGGAAGAAAACGCCTCTCTTTTGCTTCGCGGGACGCCTTAGAAAGGTTCAGAGAGGGGATTCTATTCACCTTGGAGCTCTTGCTGCCAAGAATGTAGCACAGGTGTGGCCCAGTTGAGACAACCTGTTTTGGCCGGATCGACTCTCAGGTGCGAGAGAGGTGTTGGGTTGGGCCAGCGAGAAAAAAGTGTTCCTGAAACTCCTCAGTGAGTGTGCAAGCAATACTCAGGTATCCCTGGAGTTTCTGGGAATGAGTGTGCAGGTTCTCCAGTTGTGTATTCAGAGTTTCTGTGTGCTAGAACAGCATTTCCCAACCCACAGGAAGGTAATTGTCACCCGACACATTTTTTATTTATGTATTAATTTTGCCTTCCGCCTTTTATTATTATTATTATTATTTTTTTTTTACAAACAGCTCAATGTGGCAAACATTTCCACCACACCTCCCTTTCTTCCTCCTATTTTCCTCACCACCACCACAACAACCCTGTGAGGTGGATCAGGCTCATCAAGGTCATAGAAGCTGGAAAAGATTTGACAAAAAGGATTAAGAATTAAGGAATTTCTCGATTTTTGATTCTTGGTTAAGCTGTTTGGATTGCAGTCTTTTTTCTTTTTCCAGACTGAGAGAGATTGGGGAAGAAACTAGAGTCTCCAGTTCGAATTCTGATGTCTGACCTGAATGCAACATGGCTAGCCGTTGTTCTCACCCTGTGCTTTTCATTTTCAGATACAGTACTACAGAGCTCTGCTTTTTTTTTTTTGATGGGAGAACTTTTTGATGGGTTTAGATCTGAAATACGTAATGGTTTTCCTTCATGAAATTCTAGCATATCAATTGCTATTTGAGCAGCTTTTCTTTTTAAGTCTTCCAGTAATCCACGGGCTTTTATTTGGTCCTGCATCTTCATAGCATGTCAATAAGAAGAAGCCGTTGTGCAGTAAAAATTCTGTTTCTCTTATAGTCTGTGTTGGAATCAAACATTGAGATAACCTTTGCCATATGTATTTTTGCTGAGAGAATGGCTTGGTAGGTCTTGTCGTTCAGGAGGTTGCTGGCAAGCAGTGAAAACTCTGGGTGGCCGGGCAGGTGGATGGTGTGCGAAGCGGCAGGTGTGGGTCCCTTGAAGAGGAATTAGGAGGGAGCGGTTCTGCTTCCCTTGAGCACTCAAATAAATGTGCAAAAGGATCACATGTTCTTCTGTGGGGTGGAGAGAAAGAAACGATGTTCTGTCTATCCATCTGCCTGCCTGCCTGGCTTTTTACCACCACAAATGTGACTGGTGAGGTGGTTTGCAATATGGCACAGAGCGATTTAAATGCAAGTCGATTAATCCCAGGAGCTTAAAGCAAAAAAAAAAAAAATTTTTTTTAACGAGGAAGCAAAATCCAACAGAACAAAAGCTAATTAGAAGTAAGAGATTGAGGGTAAGGAGGAAAGTAAGAGAGAATAAAATAAAGCATTGGACCTATTGAATCATACTTGGGCTTTTTTTTTTTTTCTTGCTTTGTGAGCCTCAACAATCGGGGCACCTAAATGCTGGACTACATTGGCCTTTTCCAGCATGATGTCCTCCTAGGCCATCGTTCGCACCTGGTGCCTCTACTTGCTGTGACTGATGGAACTTGTGGTACCTTCTGGATACTTTGGATTTCCTTAAGGATGGAAAGGATTGCCTTGTTAGTGCCATCTAGCAAAGCTTTGTAGGCAGGGCCAGGCTAACCCACTGGAAGAAAATATTTGTAGCTAAAGGTCAAGCTTGTTTTCAGATTAACAGAGTTGGAAGGGACCTTGTAGGTCACCTAGTCCAACCCCCTGCCCATGCAGGAGAACCTACAACATTTCTGACAAATCTCTTCTTGGAAGCTTCCAGTGATGAAGCTCCCACAACTTCCGAGGGCAGGCTGTTCCATTGGTTGATTGTTCTCACTGTCGGAAAACCTCTCCTTATTTCCAGGTTGTATCTCTCCTTGTTCAGTTTGCATCCATCCAAAACTGCGCTGTCATCAGTGCTTTCTGAGCTTGGTTGTTTTCTTGCAGACTTTTCATTACCCTGCTAGGTAACCTCATCAGTGCTAGCATGACGGAGATACCTAGCTGGGTAATGAAACCTCTGCAAGAAAACAGCCAAGCTGTTTTGAATTGTCTGAATTGTCTCGGGCAACAAATTCTGAGGAATCGACTCAGAAGCTGGAGAAAAGAACTGAATAAGATGAGGTTGCTTTGAACTGAGGCCTTGTTCTATGACTAGTCTGAAGAAACATTCAGGTATCAGTTGGAACTGGTGTCACGTCAAGCAGAAACGTATCTTGCAATGTGTGTCAGGGGAGAAGACCCTGCTGAATACTTTTGGATGAGAGAACATCCACGGTGTCAACTCATAAAATATTTCTATGGTTTTTTTTTTAAGAGTGGCCAACAGAAAGGGATGGGGGGAAAGGGGTTTGAAAGAGCAGTGCGGCAGCTCGGAAATAGAAAGTGTGTTCCATAAATAGTTTTTCAAAGATAGTAACTAGGTGACTGAAGTTTCTGCTGTGCACAATTCTAACTGGAGAGCATGATTGAAGACTCTGGGCTATGGAGGTGTCTCATTGGAGAATATGAATTACGATACACCCAGTGGGTGGGGGGAAAACCAGGGTCAAGGGTGACAATGAATTATGTGTTTCAGAGTCAGCTATACCCAAGCAGTGCCAACATGTTAACTCCCAATAAATCCTTTTGAAGTTTTGGAAGTTTGGCTCGAGACTCATGATTTAACTGGGGTAACTGCCGGAATCCTGACATAGGAATTGAGACTTTGGATGTACTAAGATGCAGCCTGATCATCTCTGTCTGTCTTCCTCTAGGACATGAACGGCCTTGAGGAAGGGGTGGAGTTCCTCCCCACCATGAACACCAAGAAGCTTGAGAAGCGTGGTCCAAAACGTTGGATAGTGGTAGTCATCGTGGTATCCATCTGCCTGCTCCTTTCCCTGTTGGTTGGGCTGCTGGTTTGGCACTTCAAATGTAAGTTGTGTTAAGGTTCAGCTTGCACTCCAAACTAAAAATAGGTTATGAATTATAATACATTAAAAGGAAGAACAACTAATACATTACTTAATAACCTGTGACGGATTCAACCAGCTTTACATCGAAATAAATCCATGCCCTCTGAGATCCGTGGGTTGAATCACCTGTAAAATAGAACTGCTGAGTTTCTAATCCTGGTGAATATATTTAGTTTACCCAGTAAAGGGCTAGATTTTGCAGGTGTCTTCCAGATGAGGTTCAGCTGTAATACTCAAAAAGCAACAAGGAGAAAAGATGGAGGGGTGACATTTTCCAAATAATTGAATGGGTATCTGATTGTTCTAGACATTCTTGGTTTGTAGCAGAAAGTGCCATAGTGTTGTGGCCTGTTGGCCCCCGTCCCCTCCAGCAGCTGAATCAGAGGAGGAGGTGGCGGCATGGGAGTGAGGGTCAGCAACAAGGCAACCTGAGAGCTCCGAGGAGGAAGACGGAATGGAGCTATCAGAGAGAGAGAGAGAGAGAGAGTGAGAGAGAGAGAGAGAGAGGCGGAGCCTTGGCCATCCGTCAGCCCTCAGATGGAGAGACAGCAGCCCCCAGGTCTGGAGGGGGCTGATGAGGAAGAGGAGAAACAGCTGGGTCCAGTGCTTGATGGGTGGAACTGCAGAAGGCAGAGGAGAGGAGAGCAGTGGAAATCTATGGGCCAGTCTTTGGGATGGAAGAGCCACCTCTGCTAGCGAAGCCCCACCCTAGCTCTGGGGATAAAAGGCAGCGGGGTGGAGATGAATAGATGTGGCAAGCAACTGTTCATCTTCCGTCTGGCTAGATTTGTTAGCCTGTGGTGAGAGAGAAACTTTTGGCCGGTGCTGATAAAGGAATCTTTGAGTTCACTTCAAAGGGTTCGTTGTGTTTGGGGAGCTGGGTCAGAACACCTGTCCAATATTTTTGCTGATTCTGACCTCCGTCCACTATTTTCTTAGACAGGGCTGTCCTTGTGCAGAAGCCATACAACGGCCACATGAGACTGATAGGCTCACGGTTCATTGATGCCTATGAGAATTCCAGCTCTCCTGAATTTGCTGCACTGGCAAAGAATGCAAAGAACATGGTAAGAATTGAAAGCTGCATAAGCAACGGCAAGCAACGGATTGTCTGCCTTGGATATCATGGGATAGACTAAAGCAGCTTCTCATCTCCCTGTTGATTCCAGCCGAATTGCAGTTATAATTCCCAGAATTCCCTAGCTGCAGGGAATTCTGGGAGTTACAGTCCCAGCATACTTAAGGAAGGCTGAACCCAGCAATTTGTCCTGCATGGAAGGGTCTTCTGCTAATGTCTATCCAGTATTACAGGTAGTTCTTGCTTACCATCCATAATTGCGTCCTGAAACTCCATCGCTAAGCGACATGGTTGTAAGGCACAACATCATGTCACTGCCAACCCAGGAAGGCAGTTTCAGCAGTCCTAGTTGCTGCCATTAAGTGAATACTGCGTGGTTGCAGCATCTAAGGTCAACGTGATTTCCATTTGCGACTTCCTGCTGGCTGCCCCATTGCCTTTAGTTGTTGGAAGACGGACATTGTCACAAATGGTGATTATGTGATGGCAGGACACTGCAATGTTGTGATTGCAAGCCAGTTTACTGAGGACCCGAAACAGGAGTGTGGAGATGCTGCAACGGTCACAACTATGAGGATCTCTCACAAGTCCTGCTTGTACAACGCCATCGTAACTTCAAATGGTCACTGAACAAGAAGTTGTTCAGTGAGGACGACCAGTATTGGAATAGTTCTCTAGAGTCTTGAGCAGAGAAAAGCTTTGCTAATGATCTTCTTGTCCAGCATTGTAGCAACCTCTGTTTTCCAATGTTTGTTTAGTTCTGCTTTGATTCTGCACTTTAAGGCTCAGACTTCCTTGATCTTCAGGCACTGCAACAGATGGTAAACCATTGTAGTAACCTGATAGGGTTCGTACATGACACAAAACATGTAATGTGGTTTATTGGATTTGGGCTTAGCATGCTGACATGGATCCAGCCATCCCAATTTATAACCCACTTTAGCATTCTGAATGACTGTAGCCCAATCCCAGAGTTTGTTCAGCAAATCCTAGCTACCACAAAGACTGTTAACAAAAGGATTGAAGATCTTGTAATAAATCAAAGAAGGTAGAACTCCAACAGACGAATAAGTAAGACAACAAATAATAGTACAGGATGTGAGAAAAATGAGCACCACTGGAATAGGCTGATTTTTAAGCTGAATTAAATAGAAATGTATATACTGGCATATACAGATCATATACTTGTTCTCAATGCAGCCATTTTTTAAATCTTTAGCTCTTAAACATCTATGCAAAGAATTTGGATGTTGGCCCCTTCCACAAAGAGTCGGTGATACTAGCATTCAGGTACGTAACTCCTGAAATTTCAGAGCAGTTTGATTTAATGGTTATGACATCTATCTAGAAACTAGGAAACCATGAGTTCTAGTCCCTATTTAGGCATGAAAGGAGGCTGGGTACTTTGGGCCAATCACCAGGAGACTGAGAGTTCTAGTCCCACCTTAAGCATGAAAGATAGCTGAGTGAATTTGGGCCAATCACCAGGAGACTGAGAGTTCTAGTTTTGCCTTAGGCATGGCAGCCCTAACTGGGTGAATTTGGGCCATTCAGTAGGAGACTGTGAGTTCTAGTCCTGTCTTAGCCATGAAATCCAACTGGGTGACTTTGGACCAATCAATCCAACCCATCTAGGCGGGTTGCCATTGTGGGGAAAATAGGAAGAAGGCATATTAGATATGTTTTGTTGATCTTAAAGTTGCCAAGTTTGAAAAATACTTTTTTAGACATTGAAGCCATTGATCATAGTAGAATTTTCTAATGCAGACATCTTGTTTTTTGCAACCCTAATTATTTAGGCTGGGGTCTAACCTATCTCTCTTTGTTCCCTTCCCACACAGTGAGGGCAGTGTGATTGCTTACTTCATGTCCATGTTCAGTGTTCCTAAATACAAGTTGGATGCTCTTGATAACGCCATAGCAAATTTCCGTAGTTTAAATCTAGCTGGTTTAGGAAAACTGCGGAAGCAAGAATTTCAAGTGGAGTCTCTCACTGCTTTTCGTAAGTCTCTCTTTCTTTTTGTTCTCCTCTTTCCACATGAAATTCCCTCATCTGCCAAGCTCGGTGGAGTATTTACACTAGTCACCAGGGAAGGTTGAACTTTGGGATATGTCAAAGCAAAGCAAAGGTTTTAAAAGACAACGTTACTAGAAAATCTAGCAGAATCAATCTGATACTCACAAATGAAGGTGAATGTATGTATCCCAGAATAAGGTTGCAGGATCCAATCTGGGTTAGTCACTGGGACAAGAAGTTGTATCTTCTGAGTTGTGCTGGAGCCCATCCTGAGGGAACTTATCTCTACCAGAATGTGGTATCTAATCTAATACACCCACTTCTAATGTCTCAGCAATCTGGAGAATTGAAACTCAACTATTTTTAAAAAAATCATGCGTAAGTATAGTTGGACCTGAGTCAGCGGTGGGATTCAGCCACTTCACACCACTTCAGGAGAACCGGTTGTTAACTTTCTGAGCAGTTTGGTGAACTGGTTGTTGGAAGAAATCATAAGAGCAGAGAAGCAGCTGTGAAATTATTTGAATCCCACCACTGACCTGAGTGGATGAGGAATGGTCAGAAAATGGTGAAAGAGGTAAATGGTAAAATCTCTTTCATGGTAAAAGAGATTTCTAAGAATCAGTCTGTGGGGGCCAACACTATCACGAGGAAGGGAAAAAAATTGGGATTTGGCAATTGGCACTCCGAAGCAAGGGATCAGGGTCATAAGAAGAAATATATATATATAAATTTGTCTTCAGACTTCAAGATATTTTTGACTAGCTCATTTATTAGACTTACGTCATCTATTAAAGACATCAATGTCTGTTAATGGGAAGCAACCTGGGATGATTTTTTTCTAGGAAAGTCTCACAATCCGGATATTGGTTGCATTTAGCCCAATCTAAAGTATCCATTTCTATGAAAAGATTTGGCTGGATTCCTCCCAAAACCATTTTTGTGTGGGTGATTTCTTTTCTATGAATTCAGGTCGTCTGCGATTGCCCTATGTTGAAGGTATAAAGTTAAACTCCTTGTTATAAAAGTTTTGTGTTTTTAATTTGTAGCTTCTGATGAGGATATCGTTAAAGCAACCCGAGACAGTAAGTAAAATTTGGTTTTTTGTTTTGTGGTTGTTTTTAATTACAGTCATAATAAAATATGGGATCTTTGAATAATTGGAGATTGTGTGGGAGTAGAATGGAATATTGCTCTCTGGAGGAAAAAAAACATATTGAAGCTGCAATCCTGTCATCCCTTATGTGGGATAAAGGCTCTTGAACTCAGTTGAACATAGAACAACAGAGTTGGCAGGGATGTAGAGGTCATCTAGTCCAACCCCTGCTCCAGCAGGAGACTCTCTACCATTTCAAACAAATGGCTGTCCAATTTCTTCTTGAAAGCCTCCAGTGATGGGGCACCCATAACTTCTGGAGGCACTGATTAATTGCTTTCACCATTAGGAAATTTCTCCTTAGTTGTAGGTTACTTTTCTCCTTGGTTAATTTCCATCTTAGGCTTACTTCGAATAACTTTATTGTCACTTTAAACGTACAATAATCAGCATACATTAAAAATGAAATTTCGTTCCATACAGCTCTCTGCCAAATAGACAAACATTCAAAAAGAGATCACAAGATGTGAACCAAAGCATTGTGACTAGAACTAAAAAAGATGGAAAAAGGACTAAGATGGAAGAATTACTTAAAATATTTTCTTGAAACTGAACACATTAGAAGCACTGATAAAGGAGAATATTTGTAGATCAGGGTTGAATTGAGGGCCTCTTGGTGCTCTCTGATCTTGCTTGTCTCAGGATGTAGATATTTCTGCTCTCTGCTCTTCCATGAAGAGCACAATGTTAGTACTGTATCTCAGGAAAGTTTTTTTTCTTTTTTTCTTTCATTTTCTGGCCTGGTTCTTAGCAAACAAAACATATCTCTCCATGCTCTCAACAGTTTAGAAGAATGTGTACGCCCTTCCCTTTGTGAGGCCTCTGCTGCTAAAACTGTTGTCAAGATTTAACAGCCGTGTTCATTATACATGACATTGTCATCTTTCCGAGGAATATACAGCTTTTCACCCAACTAGCCAAGGAACATGAAATTTTGTCTAGGCAGGCCTTAAAAATCACTTCGAGTACATATTCCTTGCTTTGTTTATTTGTTATAACCACTCAGTAATTGCAATACTTGGCATGGTGTGCAAATTCATTAAAAGTCATCATTGAAAAGCTGTTTGGCTGTATTGAAAAATTCAAAATAGATAATGACTCAATTAACAAGGTAAAGTGTTATGATAACAGTAAGGTGATAAATAGAAAATGGTAACAAAGAGGACGATCAAAGAAAATTAGAAGTTCTACAACCACGTGACGCTGGTTATTATTGGTTGTTGTTGTTTCTTTTTTTAAAGAATGGTAAACTAAAACACTCTTAACTTGGAAGCACAATTTATTCAAAATGTGTTGGAGACGTGGTGGCGCAGGGGTTAGAATTCAGTATTGTAGGTTAACTCTGCCCATAGCCAGGAAGTTCTCTCCTAAGTGGCTCAAGGTTGAATCAGGTGGGTAAAATGAGAACCCAGATTGTTGGGGGCAGTATGCTACTCTGTAAACCGCTTAGAGAGGGCTGCAAAGCACTATAAAGCGGTATATAGGTCTAAGTGCTATTGCTATTTTCCTCCCTCCCTCCCTCCCTCCTTCCTTCCCAGTGTTTAGAATTCAATATTACAGACTAACCCTGCCCACAGCAGCAGTTCAAGTCTCACCAACTCAAGGTTGACTGATCCTTCCGAGGTCGGTAAAATGAGGACCCAGATTGTTGGGGGCAATATGCTATTCTGTAAACTGCTTAGAGAGGGCTGTGAAGTGGTATATAAGTTGAAGTGCTATTGCCGTTTTCCTTCTTCCCTCCCTCCCTCCCTCCCTTCCCAGTGTTTAGAATTCAGTATTGCTGACTCAACCATTTAGAGAGGGCTGTAAAGCAGTATATAAGTCTAAGTGCTATTGCTATCGTCCATCTCTTACATCTTTTGGATCCTTCCAGTTTTAATTTGCCCATCTGAATTCCTTTACTGAATGAGAGATGCCTTCTTGCTATCCTCTTGAGAACTTTCTCTTCTGGTGTTGTTTCTCTCACCTGACTAGACAGCTGCAAATATGCGTTGCATGCCAAAGAAGGGAAGGTGATCAGCTTTACGACGCCAGGATTCCCAAACAGCCATTACCCACCCAACATGCGCTGCTTCTGGGCGCTGAGAGCTGATGCCAACATGGTCATTAGCCTAACCTTCACTACATTTGAAATCGAGCCATGCCATCTAGGAGAGGACTTTGTCAAGGTGTACAACTCATTGAGCCCAGTGGAAGAACGCTCGCTGGTGAAGTAAGTCCATTGGCTACAATATGACGTGCTCTCATGGGAAGAAATATAGACGGGCTTCTGGGGGCATCATTAGCAGGAGCCTGAGATAGACTTCAGTTTTTGTGCCTTCTTCTGGGTTGCACTGTTACTGATACCTACTCTGATGGGGAAGGAGATTGCCAAATATGCATTGCTTAGTCACTAATCGTCCTTCCTTCTCTTTCTCCCCCAACTTCCTCCTTCACCTTCTCCTTCCTTCCTTCCTTCCTTCCTTCCTTCCTTCCTTCCTTCCTTCCCTCCTTTCCTTCCTTCCTTCCTTCCTTCCTTCCTCCTTTCCTTCCTTCCTCCTTTCACTCCCTCCCTCCCTCCCTCCCTCCTTTCCTTCCTTCCTTCTTTCCTTCCTAGACTGTGCGGGAGCTTTGACATTTCATACAACCTGACATTCATCTCTTCTCAAAACGTCCTCCTAGTTATGTTAAGTACAGATGCAAGAGGAAGATTTCCTGGGTTCAAAGCAGAATTTTTCCAGATGCCAAAGATGACATGTAAGAACATCGTTCTTTCTATTTTGGGGTGATACTAGGAGATCATGGGTTGGCAGGATGAGGGCCTGACAACAAATTCAGTACTGTTGCTCCTTTTCTTGACAGTATTCTCCTTAAGAGAGAAGGAAGGAGACCCGAGAAAGATATGAGCCAGAAGCCCAAGTAAAAAAAGACGAATCTTATCAGCCATTAACACACTATTAAGCCATTCATGCAGAAAAATAGTCTGCTTCTAATCAAGTAAAGGATCCCGTCTAGTAGAAGATAAAGATGAGTGGAAAATGAATAAGCTAGAGAGGGAGAAAATCTCGAGGATAATAAGGCGCTAGGGGCACAGTTATTTTTCCCTCACTCAGGAGATGTTGTGATAAATTTCACCTTCCCCTTCCCCCACACACTTCCGGATACTCTAATAACACATCCTAATGAGAACTGGGCTGAAATTGGATGGGGTTAAGCTGATGGACAGGTGTTGTACAGGTAACCATAATTAGTCTCCTGGGTTATAGACATGCTTTTGAATCGGGCCCTTAGCAATTGACGTCATCTTATTAATGGCCGTTCTGCACAAATGCCTTTCTTCCGGCCACCAATAAGGTTCATAATATTCTGTTTTCTCTCTCCACACCTGTTCCTCCCCTCCTGCTGCCCCGATTGCAGCTTGCGGTGGAGTTTTGAAGGGCGTATCAGGGAACTTTACCACACCATATTATCCAGCCTTCTATCCTCCAAATCTGGACTGCGTATGGAATATAGAGGTGAGGATTTCAGAGTACCGATTCTCTTTTACTTTTGGAGCCTTGCAGCATAGACTAAGGGAGAGCATTTGTAACCTGCAGATCTGGCTAACAATCAAGGTGTTAAATAAGAGTTGAAAGGCCTTTTCTGGGATGGATTCTTAAGAGTCTGAAAACAAAGCAAAAAAAAAAAATGTCAACTCAACAATGGAGAGTGTGGCGGAGATCCAAACCTTTCTTTCTTTTTATCACTACTATTTTAATAAGTGCATTTCTAGCCCTCAGCTTGGGGTGGTGCAGTGGCCTAGAGGTAGAGCTCTTGCCTCATGATCAGGGGGCTGTGAGTTCGATCTTAGGTAAGGGTAAATAATTCTCTCTCTTATAATGAGTAATTATCTGCTGCGAACTCTGCATTGGTGACAGGAAGGGCATTTGGCCAGTAAACGCTCTGCTCCTTTCAGTTGCCCTGACTACTCCAATGTGAGGGATTATGGCAGTGATGGCGAACCTTTTTGTTGTGGTGTGCCAAGAGTGTGCGCGCCGGCACCCACAATTCAATGCGCCCCCCTGTGCATATACACTCAACCCCCACCCACTTTCCTGCACTGTGCATACGTGCACCTCCCAGCTGATTTTCGGCTTGTTTTAGGCCTTTTTTGCCCTCCTGGAGGCTCAAAGGAAGCCTCTGCACCCCCGGGAGGCTGAAAAACAGGCCTTTTGGAAATACAGGAAGTGCCCGTTTGCAGCCTCCAGAGGGCCTCTGGAGCCCAGGGGAGGCTGTTTTCGCCCTCCCTGGGGCTTGAGGGAATCTCTGGAGCCTCGGAAGGCTGAAAATGAGCCTGTTTCGGCACTTCCGGTATTTCCGAAAGGCCCGTTTTTTGGCCTCCCGAGGCTGCAGAGGCTTCCCTCGAGCCTCCAGGAGGGCGAAAAAGGCCTCAAACAAGCCAAAAATCAACTGGGAGGCATGCGCTTGCTCCATGCAGGTAAGTTTGGCTGAGGCTCGCGTGCCCGTACAAATGGCTCTGCGAGCCACCTGTGGCACTCATGCCGTGGGTTTGCCATCATGGGATTATGGGGTCATTAAAAGACACACACACACACACACACAAATTCTAGCCCTCAACTTGATTTTACATGGCTTTTTAAAAAAGAATCTATGATAAAGCAAGGGAATCATTGGCAGGGTCCACTCATGATGCACTACTAAACCATAATATGGTTTGTTGGGTTTAGGTTTCATATACTGTATGAACTGATCTCAACTGGCTTAGTCAACAAACGTGGCCAAACTAAACCATGATTTAATGCCGCAGGTAACCCCAGCTGAGTTGCGTGTATGTGGATTCACATTCAACATTTTTATTTGTTTACTGCATCTATGCCGCACCCTTTTGAAATTAATGTAGTTCAGACGATGGTATCTCCTAATTCATTATCAAGTGTACCTTGAACCAATGTAGGTTTACAATGACCAGGTCATAGTCATCCAATGAGCTCTTAGTTGACCATCTTGTCCAGACCCTAAACTATTGTCCTATATTGACTCTGTAGCATAATGGTTCCAGGAATTGAGTCTTCCTCTTCTCACACGGAAACATCAATGGGCTCGAGTTCTATTTTCAGATTTCACGTAGACACATGGATGTCCTTTATGACAAATAGAGTGATCCAGGGTGATCTAGATGAGGGGTGTCAAACTCAAGGCTTAAGTGCTTAACTCTGGCCCACAAGGCCAGCCTGGAAATAGCAAAGGACTGGCCCGTGGTATCTCTGGCAGCCAAAATGGAATGCACTCAGGTCCTCCCATGCCCCATATTGGCCAACAAAGTGCTGCGGGAGGCCATCCAGGCCAAAAACGGGGCATAGGGGGGAAAGCACCATGCCCCATTTTGGCCGGTAGGTTGCTGCAGGAAGTGCCTGTCCTGTCTCCCCCCTGCCCCCCAACTGGCCTAAAGAGGAGAACTGCAATACTTGATCCGGCCCTCAAAAAATCCAGTTTGACACCCCTGATCTAGATTACTAGAATTCTTCTTATGTTCAGTTCGACAACAGGGCTATTTAAAACATTCCTAGTTGCCCAATGCCATGCGTTTATCTTCCTTGGATGAAAAATTGTTCATGGTGACATTTCTACTCCAGAAATCAAATGCAGACCATGCTTCCATGGAAAAAGCAGCGATATAAACACACAAAGCAGGTTTGCTAAAGCAATAGTCTTCTCTCTATGGATGTATGAGTGTGAGACTTGGACACTAAGAATGGCTGATTGAAGAAGAAGTGACGTCTTTGAACTGTGGTGCTGTTGTAAAGGATTGCATATACCATGGACAGCCAGAGCAACCAACAGAGAGATGCTGAGTTCTATAAAACTAGACACATCACTAGAAGCCAAAAATCACAAGACTACGTCTGATTTACTTCGGCTATGTCATGTGTGCAAATGCACTGGAGAAGTCAGTGAGGCTAGGAACGGTTAGTGCAGCAAGAAGAAGGGGCAAGCCAAGAACACACTGGCTTGATTCCATCAAATCTGATACAATGATGAACACCCAACAAAAGTTGTGATTGACGGGGTAGCATGGAGAGGACTTGCCTATAAAGTCAGTAAGAGTTGGACACAACTGAATGGTTAAATCAACAACAACGGTTGCCGAAGACTTTTTAGAAAATGTTGGAAAAGACATCTAGCTTGGGAGTGGTACCAGTGTTTGGGAGGTACCAGTGTTTATTTCCTCTCATCTCTGCCCACCCCTGCCAACTTTAAATCTCATTTTCAGGTGCCTGAGGACAAAAATGTTAAGATACGCTTCAATGAATTCTACCTTGAGGATCCTGGTGATGCCTCCAACTCCTGCCCCAAAGACTATGTGGAAATCAACGGTGTCAAGTAAGAGCCATTATTCATTTATAAACCTGTATTGCCAGTTCCTGTGTATCTGTTGCAACTGGGCAAGAAGAAAACTTGTCTTAGTCACTGGATGTCTTTAAGACCCTTCCTTGACATCTTTTAGGATATAAATACCATAAATGAAAGGTCCTCGCTTGATTTAAAAAACAACAACAAATATTTCTCTAGTACTGTCAGATGATCTGATTAGCTTTCCATATTGAAAGGAAAGAACGAGAAGACCTTGTCATTTTATTGCATGTGTTTTGTGTGTATGTGTGTGTGAGAGAGAGAGCTAGAGAGAGAAAGATAAAGCGTGCTAGAGAGAGAGAGAGAGAGAGAAAGAGAGAGAGACACACACACAGAGAAAGAGAGCTAGAGAGAGAAAGAGACAGAGAGAAAGAAAGAGCTAGAGAAAGAGAGAGAGAGCTAGAGAGAGAGAGAAAGAGAGAGAGAGATCTTATGTGTTCATTGATGCATCACATCATGAATGAATGGCCAGCCTCCAGTTGATTTTTTTCTTCTTGTGATCCTTTAGATATTGTCAGCCCAGCAAGGGATTTGTGGTAATGAGTAAAACCAACAGAATTACAGTTCGTTTCCACTCAGATAGTTCACATGTGGACAATGGCTTCTCGGCTGAGTATTTGTCCTTTGACTCCAATGACCGTAAGTGGAGATGTCAAATGTGAGGTTAATCAGGGAGGGAGGTGGTAGGACGAGTCACCTTCTCAGTCGGGAAGGGTTGAAACTTTGAAGCTTTTTGATAGAGAAGTCCTCTATGGGAGGACTTGATATGTAGTATCCTATAGAGCAGTGGTTTCTAACCATTTTGGGACCATGGACCAGCAGTGGTGGTGGGGTGGGGTGAGGATGGGATCAAAGGTGGTATTCAGCTGGTTTGGACTGGTTCTGGAGAACCGATAGTGGAAATTTTGAGTAGTTCGGAGAACCGGCAAATCCCACCTCTGACTGGCCCCACCCCCTCTATTCTCTGCCTCCCAAGTCCTAGCTGATCGGCTGGGTCTTCTTTTGTTGCCCTGCACAGAAGAACGGAGCTGGAAAGCAGGTTAGTGGGGTGGGGAAGGAATGGGATTTTGCCGTATTCCTTCCCCTGCCACACCCACCAAGCCACAGTAGTAAACCCACAGAACTGGTAGTAAAGAAATTTGAATCCCACCATTGGACGGGATGGTTGCCTAATCCCATGCATACACAAATAAAAATTCACCATGCTCACCCACCACATGTGTAGCCCGGTTCCCAAGGGGCTGCTGACCGATATCGGTCCGTGGCCCAGGGGTTGAGGACCCCTGCTATAGAGAATGTGGGGGACGGTCTTAGAAGAACATTGAGGCTTCCAGTGATAAGTACATTGAGATTTGGAATGACAATAAGTAAACTGAATTTTAGAATTTTCTGTCTTTTCCCTCTTCTCATATTTAGGCACTCGCTGCCCAACAACTAATTCAAAGTTCAGTGGCGAGGTTCATTATCTGCATAAGATCTCAGTTTCATCCCTGTCCAACTTCTGTCACAGAGACCGTAGGGACTTTTTTCCAAGTTTTAGTAGACGGATGAAATAGACAAGTAACCCGTCAGTTATGAATCGGCTCTTGTCACTTCAGCACGATTTGTAGCGCCAGGTTCTACATCAGATAAACACTGGATTTACTCCATAATGAAACAGCACCTAGAATCCTTCTGAGGTTCTAGAATCACTCTGAGAAGAAGGAGAGATTGACAATCAAGAACATTAAATTTCTAGATGAACAATCCCCAAACTTGTGCTGAAATGACCAATACTATCAAATAATATACTGACACATTCCTTAATTATTCCTTTGGGGTATGGCCTCTGAAGACATACAGTAGATTAAATTATGTCCATGCTTGTCCTGATATCAGGGTTTTTTTCCATGTAGAATAATTTCTGGAGATAGTTTTAAGAGAGTTTTTTCAAGGGTGATCCTTGGGAGTAAAGGTTCCCCTCGCACATATGTGTTAGTCGTTTCTGACTCTGAGGGGCGGTGCTCATCTCCATTACAAAGCCGAAGAGCCACCGCTGTCCGAAGACGTCTCCATGGTCATGTGGCTGGCATGACTGAACGCTTTGACCTTCCCACCAAAGGGGTCCCTATTTTTCCACATGCATTTTTACATGCTTTTGAACAGCTTGGTTGGCAGAAGCTGGGACAAGTAACGGAAGCTCACTCCGTTACGTGGTGCTAGGGATTCGAACCGCTGAACTGCCAACCTTTTTGATTGACTTAAGACTTTCAGGACTAAATGCTATTTGCAAAATAAGACTTTTCCCCAGAGCAGAATTGCAAATATACCATCCAGAATGGCAACGGAAGATATTGATGCTTTCACCTATGTAGAATATTGATCTATTTATACGTTTTCTCTCCCTGTCTTCTTCGTTGACTTGTAGCTTGCCCAGGGAAATTCACCTGCAAAAGTGGCCGCTGCATCAAAAAAGAACTGCGCTGTGATGGGTGGTTTGACTGTCCAGATGCCAGTGATGAGAGAAATTGCAGTAAGTTCTCCCTTTTAGCTCTGTTTGGTGGTATGGATGATGTTCCTAAGGCTTGTTTACTTTTTTTTCTGTGGGCTGCACTGCCCAGAAGTATCCAAAGCTCTGTTGATGGCCTTTCCATATAACTGCACTGTTTGTGGTCTTCTTCTTCAGATTGCACTAAGAATCAGTTCCGATGCCATAATAATTGGTGCAAGCCAAAATACTGGCTTTGTGATACGGTGGATGACTGCGGGGACAACAGTGATGAACTGCAGTGCGGTGAGTTGTTTTTATGAAATGGAGAACTCTAGTGCAGGGAGAACTGAGTTCACGCTTTGGACCACTCTTAGTATGAACTAGGAGTTCAAAACTCTTAGTTGTCCAGATGGGGTTTCTTAACTGAACCGTAATTTGAAGTTTTGCACAGTTTTGCATTAAAACATGAACTGGATTTACACAGTTTAAGAAGCTCAAAGCTGGTAAGGGTGGAGGGAAGATGGAAGGGCCTTGAGGGATGGAAGGAAGAGCCATTATTATGGCAATGGTATCGTTCCAAGGATAGCTGGGCCCCCATGAAAGTGTAAAAATTAGACTTTAAGCTTATTTCTCATCTTGGGTGAGCTCCTCCTCATCTTTCAAGCTCAGCTAATGTCTTATCTTGACCTTATCTGAGAAATAAGCGATAAAACAAATTATTTTATTTTATATTTTATTATTTTCTTTCTTATTTGTTTATTAATGTTTTAAGTTTTAACTAGTTATGTTTTATCATTTTTTTAAAAATAGTTTATGCGTCTTTTAAGTTTTTGATTGAGAACTGCCAGAGTTGGCTGAAAAATGGATGACTATATAAATGTTTTCAACGGTCAATAATACGGTCAGATAAAAGAAGACTGAGTCCAGGGCAGAAAGATAACCTAAAAAAAACCATTTCAGACAAGACCCTTCCAAGTTGTCACAAAAAGAAGAGCGATGATGTGCATTCAGACTTGCCAGCTCAGTGCTACAGCTTTATAGTAATAAAACTGACCTACATGACATTGGATTCCTAGTCTGACCTAACTCAAAAGGTTGGCAACAAACTCCGTTTTCTATTATTATGATGATCTGGACCCCAATTTTACGTGTGAGGGCCTTTTGATGGAATCTTGCAAAAATCAGTGCCAGTGTTGAAGCAAAGCTAGCATGACAGAGAGTGGCTGGTGGGAACGGCTTCTTCTCTAAGCAGTGAAACCTTGCAATTTCTTCTTTTCCTTCTCAGGATGTCCTCCTGACAGCTTCAAGTGCAGTAACGGCAATTGCATCCCAATGCGGCAGAAATGCGACGGGAAAGCAGACTGCAAAGATGGCAGTGACGAGGGAGAGTGTGGCTCTGGTAAAAGCTCTGGTAAAAACTCTGGTAAAAGCTCTGGAGTGGTGATAAATGCTGGCCGAGGGGCAGGTGGGGAAGTTGTGAAAATTGTGGTTTGTAAGCAGGGAAGATTTGGGTATGTTTAGTTTGATGGAGCTGGAATTGGGTATGTCTAGTTTGATGAAAAGAAGGATTTAGGGTGACATGAGAGCAGTGTTCCGATATCTCAGGGGCTGCCCCAAAGAAGAGGAAGTCAAGCTATTCTCCAAAGTACCAGAGGGCAGGACAAGAAGCAATGGGTGGAAGGAGACAAGCAACCTAGAACTAAGGAGAAATTGCCTGACAGTGAGAACAATTAACCAGTGGAAGAGCTTGCCTCCAGAAGTTATGGGTGCTCCAACACTGGAGATTTTTAAGAAGAGATTGGATAACCATTTGTCTGAAATGGCACACCAGACTGGGTGTGTGTGTGTATGTGGGTGTGTGTGTGTGTATGTGTATGCACCTGACAAATATACTTTATGTGTGTTTGGTGTGTGTGTATGTGTGTGTGTGTGGTGTGTATATGTGTGTGGTGTGTGTGTCTTTGTGTGCGTGTGGTGTGTATATGTATGTGGTGTGTGTGTGTCTTTGTGTGTGGTGTGTGTGTGGAGTGTATGCGTGTGGAGTGTGTGTGTGTGTGTGTGCCACCTGACAAATATGCTCTGTGTGTGTCTATATGTGTGTGTGTGTTCTGCAGGGTATTGTGTAATTTTTATTTAAAAATTACTCTCATGGAAGTAGACATCCTTTTCCACAAGAGAGAGAAGGCATTCCCCCAAAATGGTGTGTTTTACAGGTAGTCCTTGACTTACAACGTTTTGTTTAAGTGACTGTTCAAAGTTACAACAGCATTGAAAAAAGGGACTTATGACCGCAGACACAGGATCAAAATTCAGATGGTTGGCAACTGGCTCACATTTATGACGTGTCCTGGGGTCACGTGGTCCCCTTTTACTATCTCCCCTTCTGACAAGCCAAGTCAAGTGGGAAGCCAGATCCACTTAAGAACCGTGTTACTCACTTAACAATGGCTGTGATTCACTCAATTGTGGTTGAAATTCGAAGATTATCTAGGCTTCCCAGAAAGGAAGCATCCAGGTTATCCATGGTGTTGCAATGCTGTGGGAAAGGTTCAAATAGTTCCAGACTCCATTTTGTGTTCCTAGCCTGGAGAGGGATACCTGCCACCTTCCTTGACTAAACACGGTCGCCCCCACAATCATCTGGGGTCCTCTTCTTCTGACCTTAGATCTCTCTCTCTCTCTCTCTCTCTCTCTGCTTTACTCAAAGCAGCCACCGTTTCCTGTCAAGCATATACCTACAAATGCCGCAACAATATGTGTGTGAACAAGAGGAACCCGGAATGTGATGGAGCGGCAGACTGCAGCGACAATTCAGATGAAGAGAATTGCAGTGAGTTCTGATCATTCCGAGAAAGTGGTAATCTGAGAAGTGAATAAATTCACAAATGTAGCAATCTTGGACCATTAAGCTGGCTTGCATGAAAGGGTTGGAAACTTTGTTGATGATGATCACTATTATTATTATTGTTTGCACTTGGTGGTTTTTGAGTTGAGTAAGTAGGGCAACCAATTGGGTCTAGTTGGCCATGTTTGTTCTTTCTCTCCTACCTGGAGAGCACAGAGTAGGTGCTGTGAATATTATAACATTATTCTCAATCTGTTTTCGGAGCAGTTTGATGGGCAGGATGGTCCTCCTTAGCCAGAGGCACTTATTCCTCCATTATGTGGAAAACTGACTCCCTTTTGGGGAGATTGGGAGTTACTTTCATCCCAACATCTTCCAAATATTTTCACAACCCTCAATGCAGAAAGGAGTAGGTGGAAATAAGAGTTCAGTTCTTGCCATGTTGTTAAAGAGGTGACAGAATTTGGGGAAGTACTGACTTGTTGGGGGTTGGGTGGGGCACCAACTTTACACAAAGGATTGTAGGAAACTTGTTGAATGTTCCAAAGATGCTTTTCCAAATGGCAACTGGACTTTCTTCTTGTTGTTATTTTCCTTGAAAATGTTTTGCTTCTCATCCAAGAAGCTTCTTCGGTTTCATGAAGAACTGGACTGAAAAAGCTTGGATTAGAAGCGAAACATTTTCAAGGAAGAAGAAAAAAAAACTCGTCCAAGAAAGTCCAGTTGCCTTTTGGAAAAGCATCTTTGGGACAAACATGGCTGAATGGTCTTGTTGGATGTCTTGCCTATTGACCAAACGTCTCTCTGAACTGAGGTGACCAATTGAAGTGAAGCTTATTTTGGGTTTGTGTCTGAATTTTGTTCCCTTTAGACTGTGGCCTCCGTGAGTATAGCAAGCAATCCCGGATTGTGGGTGGAATGGACTCCAATTTGGGCGAATGGCCCTGGCAGGTCAGCCTGCATGTCAAGAGCGAGGGTCACGTCTGTGGGGCTTCCTTGATATCCAACAAGTGGCTGATCACAGCTGCCCATTGCTTTGTTGAAAAGAACTACATCAAGTAGGTAGAGGTTTTTTAATCATGCTTCAGAAGTTAATTGTGTTTTTTTGAATACTTTATTGAATGTTTAAAGTCAAGGATCCAGGAGAGCGAGGGACTCACCTTGTCTGGGATAATGTCAGCTGTGCCTCCATTCAAAATCCAAGAAAGAAAACCTTAGACTCCATTAAAATAGAGAAAAGTACTTTTACTGGATTTGAAGTGATAGCAACAAAAGGAAAGCAAGATCTGAGGCAAATAGGCGTGGAAATTACACATTGAAGTCCCCTCCCCCAGTAGTTCAAACTGGACATCCAATCTGAGGTGTGTGTATTATCATGTGGGGTACAACTTCAGGTGGCATTTCACACATCTGGTAAGCCAAGACGGTTGACCTTGGCCTAGAAAAGATAAATGGACGCAGTTGCACAGAAGGCAGGAAAACATCCCATCTTTTTCAGTTCACACAACTTCGTCCTCCAACATCAAATTATCCCTCCTCCAGTTTCCATGGCAGCTGGCAAGAGTCAAGCAGTAAAAGATGTTAGGAAAAATTCTTGGAGGCTGACGGATAATGTCAGAGATCCTAGTAATAGATCCATTGCAAGCAAGAAATCCGAGGCAGGTGGATTCTTCAAAGAATAGCTTTATTGGAATATCATATTGGCACATATCTGGTGAGAACCGACTCTGAGAGGCCCCTTGGTTTTCACCTAAGTAAAAATAAAAAGTTTTTTTCCATCAATCCCAAACAATCCGTCCCATGGCCCAATCAAGGCAGTGTCCACTGGTCTGGTGACATCACTCCTCCTTCCTCCAGCCAGGTATAAGAACGTCCTTGGTTCCCAAGAGAAAATATTTTGTTTTGACTACACAACCCCAGCTATCTCTTAATTTCCCCCTCCCTATCCCTCGCAGTGTGGCATCACTGAAGCTCCAAGATGGCTCTGGCCAGATCCACTTCAGGGTTGACAGGGGTAAGATGTTCCTTAGGGTGGGGATAGTAGCTGAGAAGGTCCTTCTCAAGATCCCACCATGCTAACTTGGGGAATTCTGGGAGTTGAAGTCCACAAGTCTTAAAGGTGCCAAGATTGGAGACCCTCAAAAGACCAATGAGATATACTTACTTATACATTCCCTTACTTGACTAGTTGGGAATGGGTCAATGTAATTGGGATGGGAGGTTCTTCAAGTATCCTGACCCTATGCCATGTATCCCATTTTGGTATGAGAAAGTGGAAAACAAGGCCGGCCTTCTTATCAGGGTCAGACACTGAGGTAGGTAAGCAGTAATCATCCAACCCTTGCTGAATTTCTCATGGTCCCAAGATCCATGTACAGTAGAACCTCTGGTCACGAATGCTTCTGACCATGGCCAACTCGGGTTCTGACCCAAAAAATTCACAATTTTGTTTTCCACAGCCAATTTTCCCCTTCTGACCATTCTTTTTTAGTAAGCGCCAAATTTCCAAAATTAGGTTCGGGTCACAACCAAAGTTATGGAACAAATTATGGTCGTGACCAGAGGTTCTACTGTACTATCCAAACTCCAAGCTTTCAAACCTTATGCAAGTTGTCCTCAGCTTAGGACCTACAACTGAGCCCAACATTTCCATAGCTAAGGCTGTTACACGACAATCTCCCCCTATCGATTTTTCTCACTACCATTGTTAAGTGAATCACTGCAACTGTAACACGGTTGTTAAGTGAATCTGGCTTCCCCATTGACTTTGCTTGTCAGAAGGCCACAAAAGGGGATCCAGTGACCCCAGGATCCTACAACTGTCATACATACATGTCAGTTGCCAAGTATTCATAGTTTGATCACGTGACAGTGGGGATGCTGCAACTATCCTGAGTGTGAAAATAGGTCATAAGTTCTTCAGTGCTGTTGTAACTTGAAATGGTCACTAAATGGTTGTTGTAAGTCAAGGATTACCTGTATACAATTTGCCTCATGGTGTAACCGGAACAATCTGGAACTGAACACACTCAAAACCATAGAAATGGTGGTAGACTTTAGGAGAAACCCTCCCATGCTACCACCTCTTACAATACTAGACAACACAGTATCAACAGTAGAGACCTTCAAATTTCTAGGTTCTATGATATCACAAGACCTAATATGGACACCTAACATTAAAAACATCATCAAAAAAGCACATCAAAGGATGTTCTTTTTGTTCCAACTCAGAAAGTTCAAATTGCCCAAAGAGCTGCTGATCCAGTTCTACAGAGGAATGATTGAGTCTGTCATCTGTACCTCTATAACTGTCTGGTTTGCTTCTGCAACGCAACAGGACAGACACAGACTTCAGAGAGTAATTAGGACTGCAGAAAAAACAATTACTACTATCCTGCCTTCAATCGAGGACCTGTATACTGCACAAGTCAAAAAGAGGGCTGTGAAAATATCTACAGACCCCTCACATCGCAGACATAAACTGTTTCCACTCCTACCTCAAAACAATTCTACAGAGCACTGCACACCAGAACAACTAGACACAAGGACAGGTTTTCCTCAAACGCCATTACTCTGCTAAACAAATAATTTCCTCAACACTATCCAACTATTTACAAAGTCTGCACTACTATTACTATTAATCTTCTCATTGCTCCTTATCACCCATCCCATCCCACTTCTGACCGTTTGACTGAAACTTCGTCGCTTGTATCCTTACGATTTATATTGACTGTTTCCTAGTATGATTTGATCGCTTATTGTCCACCATGACTATCATTAAGTGTTGCACCTGATGATTCTCGACTCTTGAAGAATGTATCTTTTTTTTAATGTACACTGAGAGCATTTGCACCAAGACAAATTCCTTGTGTGTCCAATCACACTTGGCCAATAAAGAATTCTATTCTATTCTATTCTAAAATGTTCTTGCTAGTTCTCGCCCTGGCTAACCAACATACACTGCTCTGCCTGCAGATACAACGAACCCTCCCTGTGGACTGCCTACATGGGCCTTCTGGACCAACAGAACAGGTCGAATAGCCTCGTTCAGAAAAGGGCGATCAAGAGAATCATCAGCCACCCGCACTTCAATGACTTCACGTATGACTTTGACATTGCTGTGATGGAGCTGGCCAGCCCTGTCACTTTTTCCAAAGAGATCAGAGCTATCTGTTTGCCTGATGCCACCCACGAATTCCCTACAGGAAAAAACATCTGGGTGACCGGATGGGGAAGGACTGAAGAAACAGGTGAGTGAAGGAATGGGAAGAAGAGAGGGTCTCCTTGGGGAAAGGATTAGAGGACTTGGCACCAACCTGCAGCTCGTTTTGGACAAACATCCACTTTTGGTCGCCATGATGTAAAAAAGATGTTGAGACTCTAGGAAGACTCTAGAAAAGAAGAGCAACAAAGATGGTTAAGAGCCTGGAGGCTAAAACATATAAAGAACGGTTGCTGGAACTGGGTAGGTCTAGCTTAGTGAAAAGAAAGACTAGGGGTGACATGATTGCAGTGTTCCAATCTCTCAGGGGCTGCCCCAAAGAAGAGGGAGTCAAGCTATCCCCCAAAGCACCAGAAGGCAGGACAAGAAGCAATGAGTGGAAACTAATCAAGGAGAGAAGCAACCTAGAACTAAGGAGAAATTTCCCGACAGTGAAAACAATTAATCAGTGGAACAACTTGCCTCTAAAAGTTGTGAATGCTTCAACGCTGGAACTTTTTAAAGAAGATGTTGGATAACCATTTGTCTGAAGTGGTGTAGGGTTTCCTGCCTAGGCAGGGGGTTGGACTAGAAGACCTCCAAGATTCCTTCCAACTCTGTTATTTTATTCTAAATGTAAATGAGTAAGTGACTCCATCTGAAAATTTTCCTAGGTGGCAAAATGCCGGAAGGTAAACATGCTTACGAGATTGCAAAACATTGTCTGCCTCTCTCTTGATTCCTGAACATAGAACATAGAATAATAAAGTTGGAAGGGACCTTGGAGATCTTCTAGACCAACCCCTTGCTTGAGCAGGAGACACTATACCCTTTCAGACCAATAGCAATAGCACCTAGACTTATATACCATTTTATAGTGCTTTCCAGCCCTCTCTAATCGGTTTACCGAGTCAGCTTATTGCCCCGAACAATTGGGGTCCTCATTTTACCCACCTCGGAAGGACGGAAGGTTGAGTCAACCTTGAGCCTGGTGAGATTCGAACTGCCAAATTGCAGGCAGCTGGTTGCAGAAGTTAGCTTGCAGTACTGCACTCTAACCACTGCGCCACAGAAGCTCCGTAAATGGTTGCCCCGTCTCATTTTGAAAGCCTCCAGTGATGAAGCACCTACAACTACTTCTTTTTTAAAAAAAAAAAAATTTTATCATGCATTTTTGGTTATTATTCATCACATTTCCAATTTTACAACGGCAGAGTACTGGCTATTACCAAGTCCTTTTTAAATATACTTCATAGTATACACCTTGGTTATAACTATTATTCTTGTAGTCATACAGTATAGTCTCTTTTAAATACATAGTTTTGTACGTCATAATTATGACTATTATTTTCATAGTTGTACCATAGCACTCTATTACATTTATCACTCTATACCCTTTAAACTATATTCATGTACAGTCCGATAGTGATATTGCTTATATTGTCTTACATATTTCTATATATCTGTATTTATTTCTATTTTCTTAATCTTTTCATTGTTAAGTGCTAATCTCTGCACCTATTATTTAATCATTTATACAATACATCCTATGTTAAGTAGTATTCTTTAAGTTCCATTGTTAACCTGTCCAATTCAGCACATTCTAATACTTCTTTTATTACATTCTCATCTGTGGGTATAGTTTCATTTTTCCAATTTTGTGCATATGTGATTCCAGCTGCTGTTATTATATGTAATATTAAGTATGTGAGTCTTTTATTATATTTCCCGGGTATTACCCCAGAGCATCCACAACTTCTGAAGGCAAGGACAACTTCTGTTCCATTGATTGATTGCTCTCACCATTAGGAAATTTCTGCTTACTTTTAGATGGCTTCTCTTCTTGGTTAGTTTCCATCTGTCGCAATGCAAGCCAGTCATAAAGAACAGAGGCCAAAAAAGTATCAATGGAGGCTACAGAAATAAATCAACATTCTAAAACTTTTTGAAAACCCTGTTTGTTTTCACACATAACATTGTTTCTCCAAATGCCCAGAGTCCTTGGCACAGATGGTCCTCAATTTACAATCATAGTTAGGATTTGGAATGTCCATGACTATGCAGTGCAATCATTAAATGAACCGTGGCCAATTTTATGACCTTGTTTGTATGGTTATTAAGCGAATTTGGCTTTCCCCGTTGATTTGGCTTGTCAAATGGTGATCCTCTAATTCCAGGATACTGCAACTGTTGCAACTACATCCTGGTTGCCAGTTTGGATTATGTGACTTCCCCGAATCTCACACAAACCTTTCTGATTTTTGTGGGGCAGGTCCTGGTGCCAGAATTTTGCAGAAGGCAGAAATCCGGGTGATCAATCAGACCATGTGTGAGTCCCTGTTGCCCAATCAACTCACTGCACAAATGATGTGTGTAGGAGTCCTGACGGGAGGAATTGATGCTTGCCAGGTGAGAAGCTTTGCAGTTTCTTTTGGAAATGTTCAATCCCCTTACATGTTCTTCTGGAGACATTCAAGCCCTTTAGATGTTCTTCTGGAGACATTCAAGCCCTTTAGATGTTCTTCTGGAGACATTCAAGCCCTTTAGATGGTCTTCTGGACCTGTTCAAGGTCTTTAGATGGTCTTCTGGACCTGTTCAAGGTCTTTAGATGTTCTGGAGATGTTCAAGCCCTTTTGATATTCTAGAGGTGTCCAAGCCCTTTAGATGTTCTTCTGGAGATGTTCATGCCCTGAAGAACTTCAAGTCCTTTAGATGTTGCTCAATGGCAATTAAGAGGCTGCTGCAGCCACTCCATCCAGAAGACAGAGAGTTATTCAGCAGCATTGGGAGGTCTGTCTGCTCCTTCACCATCCTTGTAGGCACTTGGCAACAAAGCAGCCACTGAATGTAGAGCACAGGCTGTGTTCATCTCATCTCACTCTGCTCCTCTTCTTCTATTGTTTATCTCCCTCTAGAATAGGGGCGTCCAACCTTGGCAACTTTAAGACCTGTGGACTTCAGCTCTCAGAATTCTCCAGTCAGCCATGCTGACTAGAGGATTCTGGGAGTTGAAGTCCACAAAACTTAAGGTTGCCAAGGTTGGACACTCTTGCTCTGGAAGGTCCAAGCTATAAAAGGATCCATCCAACAAACCCGGGCAATTCCTTAGAAAAACTTCCTTGAAGTAGGAAATGAGGGAAGGGAACACTAGGGATTCTGTTCCTTGATTAACCGCTGCCTTATTTCTTTTCAGGGAGATTCTGGAGGGCCGCTTGCCAGTATAGAAGTTAACAATAGGATGTTCCTGGCTGGTATAGTCAGCTGGGGAGACGGTTGCGCTCGCCGGAACAAGCCCGGCGTCTACACCCGGGTCACTAAGCTACGAACGTGGATCAAACAGAAAACAGGGTTGTAGGTGGTTCCCGCCACTAGGATGGTTCACACCTCTTGATTCCTCGTGCAGGTCGGTCAACCTGGCCATTGAAGAAGACATTCCCACATGATGTGAAGGGAACCCTGTCTCATATGTTCAACCCTTCTCTCCTTTGGTTCTCACCCTTCTGGGTCTTCCAGGGAGGGAAGGTTGGTTTGAGAACAAATGACCCACCTGGATTTAATTGTACATGGACCGTTTCCACCTGGGAGAGCTTTGTTCCTTGCTTCTGTCTCCTGAGATCACCGCCATGTCTTCATTTAAATCCGAAACTGAGTTTTTGACCGGCCTGGAGCCTCCGTCACAGATCCGACTTTTGCACAGGTGTGCAAGGGAAGGTTGGAACCAATTTGAGATGGGATTATACTGACTCCTCTTCTTCCCAAGTCACCAAACAGATGACCGTGGGAAGAAAAGAAGACTACCCTGCCTGTTTAGAAAACAGATTGCAGATCTTTGGGCTTGAAGCCCTGTTCTTTTCCTTGTTGTGTCCAACACAGTGCCGTCTGTGATTAATCCTACATCCTATGACTTTTATCTTAAAATTCCTCACTAAGAGTAAGGTTGCTATCTTTGGTATCTTGGTGTGCAACTCCCCGGAACTCTTGCGGGAAGGGAATTATGACAATTTCCAGATTTGCTATGATGTGGATTGATTTAGGGCAGAGTTCCCCAAACTTGGCAACTTTAAGACTTGTGGACTTCAACTCTCAGAATTCTGAAAGTTGAAGTCCACAAGTCTTAAAAGTTGCCAAGTTTGGAGACCTCTGATTTAGAGCTATAATATTGCTGCAAAATTTGGTGGACCACTAGATGGGAGCAGAGAGATTCCGAAAGCTGCCTTTTGCTCATAGCCAGTGATATTCTGGATATTTTCAGCAGAAATAAAGAGCAGCTTCTTTGATTAAATTATTTTCCCCCCTCCTTATCCCGAGTGAATTTCACAATATCAGTGTGCAATGGCCTATAAAATACAACCTTGTTATGCCAACAAAGTAAGCACTGAAAATCATACTCAGTCTGCAATGTTAGAAGCAATCATACCAGATCTTGCTGTTTTTTTAAGGAAATATTTCCCATCTTCAACTTCACCTCTTTTTTATAATATGCTGGTCAGAGATGCAAAGACCTAGGGAAAAAACAGGAAGGGAGGGGGATGGACAGCCGGTATATTTTACACCCCCTCCCTCTGAATTTTTCCTTTCCCGCCCTCATTTGTTTCCCTGTCTTTACCCCACATCCGCCAGGATAATTCAGATTGAGATTCCTTCCTGATATTTTTTTTGAACTATATTTCTATCCATTTTAGTCCCAGGGATAAAAAGTTCTGACTTTAGCTTTCTTTGTAGATGGAATCAAATTCTACTGTCGATTATCAATAGGTTGCCTGCAGATCTCCAAAACACCTTTGAGGATTTAAAAAAAAAGGACAATCAAGGACTAATAGCCTTTTGCTTTTCTGTGTAAAAGTCCAGTTGAAATATTTGGGACTTGCAATCCACTTGTCTCTTCCTTTCATAAAAAAAAAGAGAAAAGAAAATCCAGTTGATTCTGGACTTCTCCAACAGTGAAAAATCATGGTTCTTCCCATCAAGGGCGGAATATGCTTGTTTGAGGTTTGAAAAAGCTCGTGCCTTGCATCTTCGTGGGACTTCATCTCCTGAGCTGTCCCATCCTCAAATGTCCCTAAGAAAGCCCACCTTGGAACAACGTTGATAAGGAGCAGAGATCTCTGAGACGCTGCACTTTTAATCCAGTCCCTCTGCACCAGTTTACCTCATTAGAATGAGATAGATGTAGAGAGATCTAGAGAATATAATTGTGTGTGTGTGTTCACAGTGAATGTGTGTGTGTGTTTGTATGGGTGGATTGTTTCCTTTTTCTGCCCCGTTTTGGGGTGGATTGGCATTACCACAATGTGCCTTATTGTACAGCCTAGTTTAATCTACAGCATTTCTTTCTTCTTCGGATGCCCCTTTAAGGTTCTTTATAGGTTGATGGCTAAAGCTAATGCTGAGTCTCCAATCTGGGTTCTTGTGTCGTTAGCATTCCTCTTCTTCCTAGCTATTGGCCAAGCTGGTTAGGTGTTCTGGGAGTTGTAGTCCAGTCTTTTTTAGGGAGCGCTTCTATCCTGCGGTGTACCAAATGCTGATTCGCTTCAGTGTTTGCTGGCTGCACCAATCTGAATTTGAGCCTTCTTTGAGTAGAATAAGTACCTTTGTCTTTGAGTGAAAGAAAGGGTGACCGTGAGATTATTTAGGGAGCAAACACCGTTAAGTAGAGCTAGATAGAGCTAAAATGTTTCTGCAAGCCAATGGACAAGATTGTTGTATCTCACTGTGTGATGTGCCTTATTTTTTTTTTACAACTGTTGCTTTTACAACTGATGGACAAGTTATGGTTCTTTACTGTAAAACTTAGTGTTGTTCTGTGCCTCTACTGGTCCAGAGTGTAGACTGGAGAAAATTACACATGTTCTTGAAGAAGTTGTTCCTCGGACATAGGACAAAAATGGGAAGAAGTCTCTTTTTTTCTAGGATATTTAACAATCTGGGAAATGCTTCACTGTGTCCTGTTCTTTATTTAAAGCACAAAGCTACCGAAAGGGATCAGTGCAGACTTGTTTTATTTCACATTAAAAGAAAGCTTTTCAAAATGGATTGAAACTAATCAGCTCAATTTTGCTTCTTACCGTGTTTGTATGTATATAAAGATTGTATTTTTTTAAATGCTGTAAATAGCTTAAATGCGAGAAAACTATTCCAAACATAATTCCTACCCATATTTCTGCACCCCCTTTTTAAATTTTTCATTGGAAAACTGAATGAAGTGCAAATGTCTGATGATTCTTAATCTGTTATTAAACTTGTTTTTTAAAAAATGGATGATTCATTTTAATTCGTTATGTTCTTTGGGGTTGAAATATTTTCTTTTAGATCAAGGGTCTTCAAACTTGGCAAGTTTTAAGACTTGTGGACTTCAACTCCCAGAATTCCTGAGCGAACAAGACTGGAGGAGGAATTCTGGGAGTTGAAGTCCACAAGTCTTAAAACTTGCCAAGTTTGAAGACCCCTGTTTTAGATGAAAAGCTGGCCTGAGTAAGATCCTATAAACAACGAGAACCTCAAAACAGAAGAATAGTGTCAAGATTACAAGAATTGATGCAGGAAGTCCCCGATTTATGGCCACAACTGAGCCCAAAATTTCCACTGTTAAGTGAGACAGTTGTTCAGTGAATTTTGCTCCTTTTATGATATTTCTTGCCACAGTTGCTAAGTGAATCAATAAAGCTGTTAAGTTAATAACATGACTGTTAAGTGAATCGTTGACGTTGCTTGTCAGAAGGTCATAAAGGGGAATCACGTGGCCCCCGGGACACTGCAACCGTCATAAATACGAATCAGTTGCCAAGCATCACATGACCATGGGGATGCTGCAACGGTCATAAGTGTGGAAAATGGTCATACTTTTTTCAGTACTGTTGTAACTTTGGTCATTAAATGAACTATTGTAAATCAAGGACTATCTATAATATCACTTTATACAGTACGAGTGAAGTCACATGAAATATTGCATACGATTTTGGCCACTACGACCCAAAAAATGATGCTCGGAGCCTAGAAAGTGTGCAGAGAAGAGCAACAAGAATGATAAAGGGTGTGGAGCAACAGATGCTTTCACTGTATGTATGAGTCCAAAAGGGACACAGTGGCTCAGTGGCTAAGATGCTGAGCTTGTCGATCAGAAAGGCCAGCAGTTCAGCAGTTCGAATCCCTAGTGCTGCCTAACGGAGTGAGCTCCCATTCCTTGTCTCAGCTTCTGCCAACCTAGCAGTTTGAAAGCATGTAAAAATCAAGTAGAAAAATAGGGACCACTTTGGTGGGAAGGGAACAGTGTTCCGTGCACCTTCGGCACCTTCCACATGACCACGGAGACGTCTTCGGACAGCGCTGGCTCTTTGGCTTTGTAATGGAGATGAACACTGCCCCCTAGAGCCGGAAACAACTAGCACGTATGTGCGAGCGGAACCTTTACCTGTACTTTATGAGTCCAACTCTTCTGAAGCTAATATTTCCTCCATAACCATCCCAAGGAATGGATTATATATCTTTCCCGTGCATTTGGCGACTTCTAGATCTACTTTCAGAATTACAAGAGCATTCCTGAAATTCTACAGTTCCATAGTCTGACGTGCCCTGGGATGCATAAACGAAGGTACATTTTTTAAACAGTACCTCCACTGAGATACAACTTGTTTAATCTTTGTTCAATTCATTTGGTGGATGCTTTAGATCACAATGCATATTGAAAGCTCAAATACCATGGGTGCATTGGTATGGATGGAGGATGGAGGAATGGATGGATATAAAATGGATGGATGGATGGATAGATAGAAATTGAATGGATGGAAATAAAATAGATGGACAGTTGGTAGATGATAGATATTGATATAAACAGATTTAGACAGAAAATGGATGGCTAGCAATAGCAGTTATGCTGATTTACTGCTTTACAGTGCTTTTACAGCTCTCTCTATTGCCCCCAATAATCTGGGTCCTCCTTTTACCTACCTCAGAAGGATGGAAGGCTGAGTCAATCCTGAACCCATAAGAATTGAACTGCCAAACTGCTGGCAGCTGGCAGTCAGCAGAAGTAGCTTGCAGTACTGCATTCTAACCACTGCGCCACCATGGCTCATAGAAAATGGATGGATAAATAGAAAATGGATGGATGGATGGATGGATGGATGGATAGATAGATAGATAGATAGATAGATAGATAGATAGATAGATAGATAGGAGAGAGAGAGAGATAAATGATAGACAAATGATAAAGATGGCTGGATGCATGGTTAGATAGATATTCTGTCCCATTTTTAACAGATTGGCATGACCATAAGATACCCACAGAAATCTCTCTTAAGTTGTAGACAAAAAAAACCTCAAAATGTATATCTCCTGTAGTCCACAATGCGCACTGCTGCGTTGTTGCACTTGGGGCACTGGGATAAATAACACAAGTGTTTCAACCCTGTCAGGGTCAGAGAACTGAAGCTAGGGCTGTATATATTTTCAGTTGCTTGCTTTTTAATGAGTACTTCCACACTAATCTTGTATGCCTTCTTCCAGCTTTTGCTGTGCATATATATCACTAATGAAGGCTAGTTTTGTGGTGCCACAAAGCTGGCCGGGCAAAGCTATAAATTGCTAGTGCAGAAATGTTCAATGTGTTCGTTTTACACTCGGCTTCCTCTCTTCCTGCTGAGCTGCAGAATAAGAAAGCTGCTGGGCCGAGGAAGTAGCCATGCAGAGACCTCGCACGGATTGAAAAACCACAGATGTTCACTCTCTTGGTTAAAGTTAGGCGAGGAACAGAACTGTCCAGCAACAGATTATTCAAGGGTAAAATAGGCCACAGCTGGTGTGTTTGAAATCAGAAGAAAAACGTTCCAGGTTGTGAGATGAATTTTCCTGCAGAAAGATTCACCGATGAATTGACCTGAATGATTGATGAATTGATGAATTACTATTACTATTATTCTTCTTGTCACTCCTTATGACCCATCCCCTCCCACTTGTGACTGTATGACAGTAAATTTGTCACTTGTATCCTTAGGATTTATATTTACTGTTTCCTAATATGATTTGACTGCTTATTGTTCCCTATGACTATTATTCTTGACAAATGTATGATTCTTGACAAATGTATCTTTTCTTTTTATGTACACTGAGAGCATTTGCACCAAGACAAATTCCTTGTATGTCTAATCATACTTGGCCAATAAAGAATTCATTCATTCATTCATTCATTCATTCATTCATTCATCTTGTTTTCTTTCGGGATGTTTCCTGTCTTCTGGCCTACAGCTCTTGGGTGTTTCTGATGTTTTGTTTCATCCAAATACAAGCCAAGAAGAACCCAGTCCAGATTCTCTTTGGATCCCAACCTAGGTGCTCAGCAGGGCCCACAACATGACTTTGTAAAAGGAAGTGGTGGCTGAGGCTAAAATGACTCTCTTAGATAATGCTCAGACCAAAAGGATGACATGTTTTGACTTCAGTTGGAGACCGGAGATTCCATTTCATGCTAAACTTTTCAGTGCCTTGAATGAGTACTTACAATCATTGTACAGACCCCTAATCATCTTGGTTGCTCTTCTCTGCATTCTTTCTAGAGCCTCAACATCTTTTTATAGTGTGGTGACCAAAATTGGATGCGTTGTCTTACTAAGGCTTTATAGAGTGGTAGTAGTACCTCACTTGATCTTGATTGTATCCCTCTGTTAATGCAATTTAGGATTGCATTGGTTTTTTTGGCTGCCACTGCACACTGCTAGCTCATATTTAGCTAGTTGTCCACTAAGACTCCGAGATCCCTCTCATAGTTACTGCTATTAAGCCTGGTTTCACCCAGTCTATATGTGTGG